AATACAAAAGTTATTAAAAAGGAAGAATAATAAGTAGTTGGAAAATATTGCCTCAGTGGTAGAAATGAAGCATGATAGAATTTTGTACAACATATCAACTTATTCATGACAAATACCTTAAAAAAAAAGACATAAACAGTGACTATACATATGGATCTCACCAGAAGGAGAATATGCAACTAAAATGAACTACATGTATAGGGCAATATGGTAAAAAAGCTCAATTATCATCAGTGAGAAAAAGTCCAGGGACCGACTGTTTCTCATAATATACTATCAATTTCTCATAAACAAGTTCAAATTGAAGGTGAACAGAATGAAGATAAGTCCACAAAACCCAAAACATGACCTTAAATATAAAGCATTTACATTTAGAGAGTATTTGTTGTTGATTTTCTTTGAGTCAAGTACAACTCATAGAGACCTATGAACAAAATGCCTGAAGCCCCTCTACAACTATTGACATTTATCAAAGTTCATAGAGTTTCTGGAGGCATGTTGCTTACAAAGTGGATGCCTCTCCTGCTTCCAATTAGCGAGTATATCCAGAAAAATTTTATGCATTAAACATCATGACTGAAGACCTGATGTGTTGTGAGATGACATAAAAGAAATTATACATAAAGAAAGCAACAGATCAATTAAAAGACAGAAAAAACAAAAATAGATGACTGTCAGGAAAAAACTCTGAAATTTACTCTTAAACATAGAGAAGATAAGTTGAAAGGGAGAAGTGGTGTACTAAGAGAACTAAACAGAAGACTGTAAAAGCCATCTTGAGAAGCAATATCTAAGTATTATAATGAAATGTGCAAATACTTGTTAGAAAATTTAAAAAAATACACTTGGCAATTCTCAAACTGAAACAATTGAAAAACAAATGCAAGTCTCAAATACATAGAGATGTTATGGGCAAAATCTTTAATGATCCTGGAAAAGTAAAAGAAGGTGGAAAGAATACACAGAATCAAAAGCCAAAAAGAATCGGTCAACATTTAAATACTTCAGAAAGTGTCATATGATCAAGAGTCAATAGTAAGGAATAAAGAATTTTAAGCTGCAGTGAAGGCACTGGCAAAAAAATAAAACCCCACAAATCGATGTGATACCAATTAACATGTTTTACATGACAGATGCAGCCTTGGAAGTGTTCACCAGATTATTTTGTGAGGACAGCCACTTGATCGATTGGCTGGAAGAGATCCAAATTTGTTCCCATTCTCAAGAAAGGTGATCCAACAGAATGTGGAAATTATTGAAAACATCATTAATCACATTACATCACATGCAAGCAAATATTGCTGAAGATCATTCAAAAACAGCTAGAACGTACATAGAGAGGTTCCAGAGTTTGAGCTGGATTTAAAAGAGGCTGTGACATCAGGGATATCATTGCTGATGTCAGATACATCATGGCTGAAAGCAAAGAATGCCAAAAGAATGTCTATTTGTGCTTTATTAACTATGCAAAGACATTCAACTATGTTGATTATAAGAAACTATGGCTAACATTGAGATGAATGGGAATCCCAGAACACTTAGAGCTATTGTACAAATAGAGCAGGGACTACCACATAGTTTAAAATTAAGATAGATCTATATCAGGGTTCTACTCTTTGTCCATACCTGTTTAATCTGTATGCTGAGAAAATTATTCAAGAAGCTGGAATCTACAAAGAAAAATGTGATATTAGGTTTGGAGGAAGACTCATCAATAACCTACATTATGCAAATGACTCAACATTGCTTGGTGAAAGTGAGGAGGACTTAAAGTACTTGCTGCAAAAAGTTAAACGCTGTAGCATTCGATACGAATTGCATCTCAATGTCAAGAAAACAAAAATCCTTGCCACTGGGCCGCTAGGCAACATCATGATAGAAGGAGAAAAGGTTAAAATTGTCAGTGACTTCATCTTACTTGGATCCCACAATCAATGCACTTGGTACCAGCAGTCAGGATCAGAAGACATAATGCACTTGGAAATTGTGTGGTCAAGGACCTCTCCAAATTATTGAGGAGCAATGATGTAATTTTAAGAACTAAAGTATGCCTGATTCAGGCCAGGGTCTTTTCATTCACTTGTTATATATCTGAGTATGAATAAGGATGACAGAGAAGAATGGATGTCTTTAAATGATGGTGTGGGAGAAAAATATTGAATAACCCATGACTGCCAAAAAAAGAAACCAATATGTCTTGAAGAAGGTTCATCCAGAGTGCTTCTTGGAGGCAAAGATGATGAAGCTTGGTCTCACATACTTTGGGCATGTTACTAGGATAGGCTATTCCATGGAGAAGGAACATTATGCTTGGGAAGGTAGAGGGATGGCAAAGGGAAGGAACACTCCCAATGAGGTGGATTGACACAATGACTACAGCAATGGGCTCGAGTGTTTCAGAGATTATGAAAGTGGCACAAGATTGAACTGGGTTCAGATTTGTTGTTCACAGGGTTTCTAGGAGTCATTCTCCACTTGATAGCACCTAAAACCAGCAATCATTCCAGGACAAAGCAGGTGGTCAAAAATAAGACTCCAGGAACTGATGGAATCTTAGCTCAAATTTTCCAACAAGTAGATGCTCTCCTAAGTGTGCTTACTTGTTGAAGCCAAGTAAGGCTTCATTAGGACTACAGCCACCTGGGCAACTCATTGGAATAGATCATTATTTGTGCCCAGTCACAAAAAAAAAATGTGATCCAATAGAATGCATAAATTATCAAACAATGTCATTAGTATCACACATAGTAAAGTCTGGCAGGAGATTATTCACAAACAACCCAAGTAGTACATCAGCATAACACAGGCAGAAACTCAAGCAGCAGGACTCAGAGGCTGTAAAACAAGGCCTATCACTGCTGACAGAAAATAGATCTTGCCTGAAAAACAGGAACACCAGAAATAAATTTACTTGTGCTTTACAAACACAGCAAAGGCATTTGACTGTGTGAAGAATAATAAATTATGGATAACTTCGAGAAGAAAGAAGTTCCTGAACACTTTATTGTACTCATGCAGAACCTGTAC